GTCTGGCAGCATCTGTGGAGGAGAAAACAGCGTTAACGTTTTGGGTCTGGTGACCCTTCCTCAGAACGGTTCTCAATTCTGAGGAAACGTCACTGGACCCAAAACGTTAACGCTGTTTTCTCCTCCACAGATGCTGCCAGACATGCTGAGCTTTTCCAGCAACTTTGTTTTTATTCCTTAATCAGTATCTGTCTCAATAGCTTCCCTCTTTCACTTTGATTTCCTTTTGTGGAGATGTATATGTTTCACAACTTGGTTCTGCTCTAAGAAGAATAGGCACCACTGAAAATAGCTCCAGTGGCTTACCTTGAGACCAATGTTTAGTGCATCGGTTCTAAGTTACAGTATGTAACTAGATGCATGTGCTGTTATGAAACAAGTCAATACTAACTCTTCCACCTTGGTTTTGTGGAATGACAATGGATTTGTTCTCTCCATAACTGAACTGAACTGTTTTCCCAGTATTTTCTACTTTTTTTGTTTCCATCCCTTCCTGGTCATAATTTATAGGAGTGGACAAAATGTATTCTAGTTGTCTCAATTCATTTAAAAAGCCTTATTTCAAAAATTTGTTCAGGCAACATACCCGTGTTCTCATGACTTTTAAGTGCAAAAGTGGGACAAATTGCAGGCCTCTTCGGGGTTGAAATTGGATTTTCCGTAAACTGATCAATGTTTCTGAAATGACAAAGGGGAATAATTTATCCAGTATAAATACCTTGTCTATTTTCCTTCTCTAAATTTGATATATTTTTTTCAGTTGTTAGGGAGGACTTAAAATGTATGACTGATTTAAAATATACAATCTTTTGATTAGGCCTGTTACTGTATTGACTTGATCTTTTAAAATGAAAATTGGGGAGCATTTATTTCCAGTTTCTAAAGGAAACTTATTTTTGCAGGTAAAGTAAAAAGAACTGCAATCAAAGAGACAGCAGTAGCCATTCACACGAAGTTTCAGTGTTATAATGGAGTTGCATCAGGGTTGAGTGACATTGAAAGGTATGTTTTTAAAAATCTTTATGCCATAAGTATTTTAAATGTTTTCTTTTCTAGAAAAACACATTAGAATGCATGCTTTTTCTTACATAATTATAATTTAAAATGGATGTCAAAAAGCCTTGTCCAATTTGATGAATCTTATTTACAGAAATGCTGTTTCTTTCCTGTAACAAGAGTAACTATACAGTTCTGAATACTGAGATAATGATGAAGAAGCCTTATGCTCTAACATCACTGGGTAGTTGGTTTGTTGATAAAACGTATTGGTACTGGGTGTTAACTCACTCAGAGATAGTAAGAACTGCCGATGCTGGAGTCAGAGATAACACACTGTGGAGCTAGAGGAACACAGCAGGCCAGGCACCATCAGAGGAGCAGGAAAGCTGACGTTTCGAGTCGGGACCCTTCTTCAGAAAAATATATTGGGGGGTCTTCAGTTTTGACTCAAAAACAGTATTGATCTAAAGCAAATATAAATGAAATAACAATTCACATTCTATTATGTGGAATAATGCAAGGTGTAATATATTTTAGGTTAAGATGAAGTCATTAAAATGAGCCTCATTGGCCTGCATTTGCTTGTTTAAAATTGCAAACAAAGTTTCTTATTGAACAAAAATAAGAGAGGCAACATTCAGGAATCACAAATAACTATTGTGCTAGGAATATAGAATGGCACGCAGAAGTTTTAATTTATTCACTTGCTATCTTCTTGAACCATTTGGGTTGGGTGGGGGGTGGAATTTCCAGGATGGTAGATTTCCTTCTCTGAAGGACATTAGTGACCCAGAGAGGTTTCTCTGACAATGAGTAGTTTTGGGATTTGGCCCTGGGGTCCCAGAACATTAGCTGAGTTTCTACACTAATAGTCCAGTAAAAATATCACTAAACTACTGTCTTCCCCATAAGATATAGCACTTTGTGTAGTTAAGAGAAGTGGGAATGATTTTTTTTATGTTTTTCCTATTGACTAATTCATTAACCATTTCAGTATGGATGAATGGTGATGTAATGTACATTAATATTTTGAAATTTAATATCCAGGAAAATATTGTTGAATATACTTTACTTGTGTTGTCTGAGACCGAAGCAGAATGTGCAGTGTTATTGGTTTCTAAGTTTTGGGGCACAATACAATTTAGCTAAAATGTGATTTAAAAACTACATGTATGGAATTGGATTTTCTTGTCTTGCAGAGCCTTGTACACATCTTCAAAGAAGCATCTGGAAGATCTGTTACATCTGTAAACTATCATAGGTGGGCCAATGGATTCTTTCCATTTTTTACAATTTACACTTTCAATGTGAAAGAAAGTTGTTGCAATAAAGCAGCAAAACATTTCATTTTTTTTAAAAGTTCTTTGCAATATGTATTGTACAAACATATTTCTATTTGTACCTATATTCTAATGTAATTTAAAATTGTATTTGTAATGTTTTGTGTTGTAATATGGTTGCTTACACTTTCCAATTCATTCTAATTGCTACAAGGTGAAAGTATATGTAAAACTCTTCTCTCCCTTCTTTAAAAAAAGGAATCTGTTTTCTTATATTTTTTGAAATATTGAAAATAATGACATTTTGTACTTTGTTTCTGGATTGCAAGCGTTTGCCAGGAGATGTCACTGAAACATGCCATAGTGTTATAGTAAAAACTGTAATGTATAATGAAAGGCTTTGTATTCAAACAAAATTGCATTGCTGATGTTTAACAATCTATTTTTGCAAAATGAATTATCTTATGTTAATTGAACTGAATAATGTAAAAAGTATTGGTGTATATGTAATAAAGCTTGTAGTGTTTAGATTTATGTCATTCTCCCATCCCATTTTCTAACTCTTCTTCTTAATCCATTTCCAGCTTTCTAGAATGCAAGCACAATTCCTGGTTCTAATGATCTTTAGACAATTTGAATATTGCCTCTGCAAATTCCTGCTGTCTTTTAGGAGAGGGACCAACAGTTCTGGGTATCTTAAGGCCATTTTTTTTCCAAATGATCTAAATCCAACATGTTCCCCTCCAAGAATTTTTTTTTTTTTAGTTCTTCTACATCATGGGTATTTCGATCTCTTCCTCTGCTTCAACAAGCATTCATCTAATAAGTCAGCCAAATTTTTGCAATCCAGTTTATTTCTTTCATGGGACATTGGCATCCTGGAAAAATCCAGCATTTATTATCCATCCCCAGTTGTCCTTGAGATAGTGGTGAACTGTCATCTTGTGTTCTGTGTCATGAGGGTACATCTGCAGTGATGTTAGGGAGAGAACTCCAAGATTTTGAACGTGTGGCAACAAAGGAAGTGTGATGACATTTATAATTCAGGATGGTTTTGAACTTAGAGAGGTTTCAGGTGGTGTTATTCTCATGTGCCTACTGTTGCTGGCAAGTTGCTGCAGTGTGCTTTGTAGATGATACTGTTGCAATTGTGTGCTGCTGGTGGATAGGATGCCATTCAAGGCTCTGTCTTGGATGGTGTTGAGCTTCTTGAGTGTTGTTGGAGCAGCAATCATCCAGGTCTTTGGGGAATATTCCCTCTCACATCTGACTTGTACCTGGTGACCTGGCTTTGGTGAGTCATAAGGTGAGTTATTTGCAGAATTTCCAACTTCTTGCTAGCTGTTGTAGCCACAATATAACTGATCCAGGTCAGTTTAAGATCAATAATAACTCAGGATATTGGTGGGGAATTTAGCAATGGTAATTCTATTGAATAATAGAGAGGTGATTACATTCTCTTATTGAAAGTGATCATTGTCTAACACTCTTGCTACATAGCAGTCCAGGCCTGAATGTTGTCCAGGTCTTGCTGCATGCAGATATGGACTACTTCCTCATCAATGGAATTGCAAATATAACTGAAGACCTTCATCAATGAACATTTTCATCTCTGGCCCTGTACTTAACAAAGTTGTTGAAGATGACTGGCCTAGGACACTGCCCTGAGAACTTTGGGTATATGGTATTCTGGAACTGAGATGTTTGGACTCCAATTGGCTACAACCATCTTTGATTGCATCACATATTACTCCAACCAGCAGAATTTTTTTCCTTAGTTCCACTAACTTCGATTTTGCTAGGATTGTTTTGTGCAATATTCGATAATATGTTGCTTTGACGTAAAGAGAATTTTTTTTTTTTGCATCCCACCTCTAAAATTCTGCTTTTGCCCTTGTATTTTTGGTGGCTGTAAGGACGTCTAACATTGAGCGGTCCTCGTGAAACTCAAGCTGAGAATTAGTGAACAGGCAAATAAAAGCAAAGTAAGACTGGAGATCTGAAATAAGAGTGCTATAATTTCTGACTGTTTCTCTCTCCATAGATACTGAAATAAACAGTTCAAGTGCAGTATGCCTGTTGTAATTGAAAGGAGCTGGAAAATAACAGCAGCCCAGGGGGAGGAGGAGCGGGTGGAACACATGTAGAGGATGTTCAGAGTAAAAGACAAAGGGACTGCTAAGCAATATAGATGCAAAATAGTTTTTAAGGTCATAATATTAAAACTAGGTCAACTTTACTGTGAGCAAATCCATGAAAACAACATACTGTTGTGGGGTGGGGTGTTGGATAATGAAAATGGAGAACAGTGCTAATGCTTTGAAGTTTCTTGACTCAATGTTGAGACGAAAGGCTGTGAAGTGCCTCAGTGAAAAATAAGCTGCTTTCTTCCAGCTTGCTTTTGGTTTTGCTGGATCACTGCAGCAGATCTAGGCGAGCAAGATGGGGAGGTGATGGTGTAGTGGTATTATTGCTGAACTGTTAATCCAGAGACCAGACAACATTCTGGGGACCCAGGTTCGAATCCTGCTATGGAAGATGGTGGAATTTGAATTTAATAAATATCTGGAATTAAGAATCTAATGATGACCATGAATCCATTGTCAACTGACAGGAAAAACCCATCTGGTTCACTAGTGTCCTTTTGGGAAGGAAACTGCCATTGTTACCTGGTCTGGCCTATATGTGACTCCAGACCCACAGCAATGTGGTTGACTCTGAACTGCCCTCTGGGTAATTAGGGATGGGCAATAAATGCTGCCTAGCCAGTGACACCCTCCTCCCATGAATGAATAAAGGAATTGAAATGGCAGGTTTCAATAGGTTGAAAGGAAAGTTGGAACTTTTGGCACAATGACTATCATTTTCCAACTTCCCTTATTTCTGCAGAAGAGTCATATTGCACTTGCAACATTAACTCAGTTTCTTACTCCACTGCTGTAGTCTGACCTTCATAGTTGGTCAAGAACTTTATTTTTATATTAATGAACATGCTGTTGGTGAGAATGTATTGCTTGATAACTGTATTGACGATAATTTCTATCATTTTGTTGATTGAAAGTAGAATGCTTTCATTGGTTGAATTGGATTTGTGTGTAATTCAACTCCTCATTCACCCATGTCGCTCAGATCTCTAATTCTGGGAAATTTCTTGCATCCTGCGTAATGAAAATGGACAAATTAATCATTTACCTTCACCATTTCTTTATTCCCCATTATATATTCTTCTGATCCTGGAACCATAACAGACCCATATTCATTATGGATTACACATCTGGAGGTTTCCTTGCTCATTGTCAAATTTGATACCATGCAGCCATTTGAAATTCCAGGGTTAGAGTCTTGACCTGCCAGTGGGCCTGAATATAGCCTAATATAGTGAAAGAGTAGTCTGGAAGGTTGACTAATAGACATGCTGAGTGTGATGAAGTTGTATGATTTATTATATTTGGAAACTTGGGTTCTGATGTAGATGGTTTGATTTTATTACTGTATTGCTTTGAGAAGGATATAGCTTTAGTTTTGTTTCTGAGTGTGATCTTGGATTGTCTGGATCATTTACATGCATTTAAGCAAGTGTTTAAAACTTTTTGAGGTGAATAGTTCAGTGAATTAGAAACAAGAGTAGAAGAGGAAAGAAAAGCTGCTAAGCTGTTGCCTAACAATTGGGTGACCTATGACAGGAGGGAAATATGGCTTGCAATAACTATACATTCCTTAAAGATGTGAAAACTATTTCCACAGCATCCACCCCAACGTCCACAAACAAAGTGTTAAGACACTATTTAAACGGACCAGGACACACTGCAACACTCCAGAATTACACCGGGAAGAGGAAGAACACTTATACAGATCCTCGCTTTAAACGGATATCCCCGCAACTTCATCCACAGATGCCTACATAACAGACAACAACAGGAGGACACTGTACGACCTAACACACTGACCACACTTCCCTACATCAAGAACATATTGAAACTGGCAACAAGATTCCTAAGACCACTAGGAATCATGGTGACCCACAAGCCCACAGCCACTCTACGACAAACACTTACAAGGATTAAAGACCTCATTCCCACAACATGCAGAATGAACGTGGTTTACAAAATACCATGTAACAACCGCCACAAACATTACATCGGACAGACAGGAAGGAAACTAGTCATCAGTTTTCACTAACATCAGCTAGCAGCAAAACTGCACGATGAACTCTCCTTAATATCTGTACATTCAGACAATGAAGGCTATCAGTTTAACTGGGACAAAGCACCTATCGTAGCCCAAGCCAAACATAGACACGCACAGGAATTCCTAGAGTCATGGTTCTCCACACATACTTCAATCAACAAACATATAGAATTGCACCCCATATATAAACCCATACAGATCAAAACCAAAAATGACAGTCTCTCACCATAATGGACTGGATAGTATAAATTTCAAGCGGAGTAGAATAACATCATCAGTGGAGCCTCCGAAGAAGCGGTCACCTAGCATGGTGACAAAACGTCTGAACAAAAACAAGCCAGCTTCGCGAGCAAGTCAACAACCTCATCCACAACCCGAGCTACAGATCTTTGCCAAAACTTTAAATGTGAAAACTCGTCTTTAAAAAAAAAACCCTGACTGACAAAGGAAGTTGAGAATCATACAAGATAGAAAAGGCTGAGAAGCAGGCAAAAATAGTAACAAATCTGATTATTGGGATGTTTTTGAGTACAGTGGAGGAGGATCAAGAAAATTGATCAGGAAGAACAGAACGAGTGTCGGTAAAAGGCATTGAAGTACTTGATCAGCCATGATTATATTAAATGGCAGAGCAGGCATAATAGGCTGAATGGCACTCTCCTGTTCCTGTGAGACAAATGAGTTCATTTAGAAAGGCAGTTTGTCTGTTCATTTAAGCATGTAAAGGTTCAGTCAGAGCAAAAAGACACTTAAGTTTTTAGCTCTCCCCCAAACTTCAGGGATGGGAGCAAGTCCTGAGTGGCATGGAAAATAGAAGCATAAAATTGCTGGCAACTGAGGGTATAGAAAATCCATGTTTGCTTTGAAAGTGTTTAGAAATCAGTCAAGAAGAAAGTTCCAAAACAGTTATGGCTGTGCTAAATGAACAGGGAACTTACAAGCGAGACAAGCTGACCTTTTACTGAGATTTGAATTTTGTAAAATTGTAAGAAAGTTAAATTTCTAATTTTTGTAATGAGATTGCTTCCACTAGTTTTTGTGCAGTGAAAGTTGTTTTTTCCCTTTGTAATTGACTCTGATCTTTTGTTAAAAGTATAGTGGCAGCTACTCTTGACTATATTCATTGACTGACTACATGAGACCATATGTTTTCATTTTGTTTTTTTATTTATCAGCCAAGTTTCATTTTAGGATCTGACTTCTCTGGTATTACCATCAGGCTGCAATCATGAGAGGAAACTAGTACAACACAGCTCTCCATATTTTGGCACAAGTTTCCTGATGTCAGTGGGGATGGTTTTACACCAAAGCCAGTTAAATTTGCTATCTTTGTTTCTGAATCTGATGCTTGGATCGATGCCTGTTTTAACAAGTCCAGGAACTTTTCACCACTTAAGCTTCAAAAATAAGGCTAACATGAATGTTTGAGGGAAGTGAGAGCCACAAACCAATCAAATCTTGCAAGCTCTTTGTATCTATTCCCAGTCTGTCAATTGTTAACTAATTCCAGTTTAGTACTTATCATTTAGTCTCGTATAGTGTGTTTTGTTTCTAAAATGCAGTTATAGAATGTTCCCGTGTTCTAGAATATTTCTAGATATTCATGCTTTTAAGTCGAGCTTCTCTTTTTTTTCAATATAAATTTGTAATACCCTTTGGACCATACTTCCTTGAATGTAATTTTTTAAGAACTCTACCACTTTCGGTCTATATGTAATATCTGCCTGTCTTACATTTTTTGAAACACTGGCTAGTGACGTGTCGCACTGTTTGATTACCCATCTGCTTACTTTTTCTTAATATGTATTGTATTTTCAATGTTACTATTCTTATGTTTTCACAGTTTTCCTTTCCTCGCCCTACACTGGATAATTTAACTTCCCGTATGCCGGTGACTACATGATATCATTTTAAGCTGAACTTGACCTCTTAACTCGCTTGTTTTATTTCTTATGGTACCTGCATTTGTGGACCGGACAAATTGAAACGTGGTCTTTCGGGACGAATGCAGATTTAGAGCGGCGTTTTGAGTCACCAAAAGCACATCATCTTTGCTTTAAGAAAGAAACCCACAAGGCGCAGACGTCTATCACTTCTGTTCTTAGCTAGTAGGGCATCATATCAAACACTGAAACCACCCCTTCCCAGGCCCAAATGTAAATATCAACTGAGAGATAAATTAACACGAGCCCATTGGGCTCAATGACCTACAAGCGTGCACAGAAAGCACAGAGGCAAAACACACGCTGCTGCAGTGAAGGATGCTGCACAAAGAGCTCTGTGCCAATATGGAGCAGTTCCCTTCCAACATTCCCCCGCCCTCCGCTTTTATATGGACCTTTGCATTGGCACAGTCAATCAATGGTTGTGCAAGCTTTCTTGGCGCTGATCTCACCGCTGTGGGCGGGCTGGACTCAGCTGATTGACAGAATGGGCCTGGCCCTGGGTTGGGTTGAGTGACAGGAGGTGTGAGGAGGGCTCAGTCTGGCTGCCGGCTCACTGCGAGCTCGGCGTACCCACGGGGGAGCCGGACATCGCCGCTTCCTTTCATCCATCACACCTTCCCTCTCCCTCTCATCTCTCGCCCACACCACATCGCACCCCCCCACAACCCCACCCTGGAATGGATTGTTAGTGCCAGTGCAATGGATGAAGAATGATGGAATTGTTCCATACCATCCTGCTGCTCCTATCGCTTTTCCACAGCCACTTGATCACGAGCGCCGACAGGAAATTCGGTGAGTTTGATCGGGTGGTGTTGATTGAATAACACAGTAATTTATGTGGAATAACGAGAGCTTTTCTTTTTGTGTTCGGTGCGGGTGCATCAGGTGGCGCAAGAGGCGGACGGTTCTCCTTTGGTTATCAGGGCTACTCAGATGCGACAGAATTACAAGGTTGCAAGAGAAAGGATAAGCCTGCGATGAATCTCCTTGAATAACGGGGTTGGGGGGGTGTTGATCAGAGTTAAATTTCCAGCCACTTGCTGTGTTTTGTAAACCACCAGGTGTACAGAGCTAATGATGTCTGAAGATACTTGTCACTGTTCGGCAAACGGCGGGAGCAGAGATGTGCTGTTTTTTTAATGTTAGTGCTATTTAAACTTGAAAGGTGCCCAGGATCAGTCACACACCCCCCTCCAAAAAAAACTTTCACGTTTGGAAGATTGAAGTTTCAACCCCACCCCAAAAACAAACTGTGTGACAAATCATTACAAATACTTCTCGTAGTCTGACTTAATATTCGCCCATTCACCTTTTTCCCTTTGCGAGTAGAATTGATTGCGTGGTGATTTATTTTATACTCGATGTTTTCTGGTACCTAGTCCGATGCACACAGTTCGCTGTCGCTGGATGTGACAAGATTATTTTACCTGGGGGATTATGAAAGTTGTAGCCAGTCGTAGAGATGTGAAAGGGAGAGCAGTGTTTAATGTTGGATCATCCTCCGCAGATTTTGATCGAAATAGCCAGATCCGAGTGAGAGAGTCGAAAACTCCTCATTCAAGCACAACAATCCCCATAATATCCATCATACACACGGTGACAGTGAATTGGGGGCAAACTGTGTTCATAACGGACTTACTGTACAGTTGTCAGGGCATGGATGTGAATCTATTTATTTGAAATTTGCACATTTTCTTCGATGTGATAGTGCACTAATTGCATGAAGATCCCGATCTCGGGTCTGGAGAGGTTCGGCTCGTCACAAGCCTTACAAGTTTAACAGCCAAATGAGATGTTATCTTATTCCGACAGATGGGAACAATTGGCCTTCATATTATGTTATGTTAAAAGCCTGATGTGTGCCTAAGGTATTGGACAAAAGGCAAATAAACTCTTAACCGCGAAGGTTTGTTTGAAGGATCCGTGTGTTGACTATGACCAGCAAACACCAAATTGTGTTTGCATTTTAGTGTTGTTAACGGTTAAAGAGTTCTGTGTTAATGCAGCAAGTGTGTTTTAAACCTAACTTAAGACAGATCTTGACGCACAACAAAAAAAACATTTGTCCGATGGCCTTTTTGATTCTTTACGTTTTTATATTTGCAAAATACATATTCACTACATAGTGAGAACGTGGTTCATTGGAGGTTCTGGATCTTGCTTCTTTATCTCTTGGTGTCTCTGGAATGATTTATTAACATATTTAAATGAATGTAAACGTTATGGTTAGATGCCGTATGTTACTCTGAACTTCTTCAATCATTCTTTCTTTTGGGGTCGTTTTGCTAATGTCCATTTGTATTATGTTGCATTGAATCTCTGAGGGCTGGCTTGCTACTCAGTGTCCATAAGTTGATGTTTGCAAATAACTACTGATCTGAATTTCAGTTCAGATGGAGGAGAAGTAATAACATCCAGCTTAAGATAATGTGATTTTACTGAGCTGCTTTGTTTAATCATTTATTCTTGCATTGCACCAGAAATGTACACTTAACTGGAATCGAGTCCTGTACTTAGAAATCACATGAATCCGGGTGGGTAGGACATGTGGTGAGATGGGATGGAGTTCAAGATAGGGATCATGTGTGGTGTTGGTTGTGGCCAGTAGCCAAAGTAAGAACCAACTTTTCAATGAGGTCTCACTGCTGAAGGTAAATGAGGGTGCGTTTAGTTATCAGACCCTCCTAGTGTGTCAAATAAAGGTAAATATTAGTATTGTATGTGTAAGAGAGGTCTTTGGTTTTGTGTATAGTCAAACTTCAATGTTTTGTGTTTGCTTGATATGCAACTGCGCAGAACTGAACTGCTTTGTGGCAATGTATATATAAAAAGTTTTTTATGACAAAAGTATATTTTTGAATTAAAAATAAAATTTGCTACTCCATCAACGATCAACAAAATCCAGTCTGGTGCAGTTGCCCTTCCTACCTACTCCTGTTAGATTTCCCCCAGTTTCTGCGCTTCATAGAGATTCTTTTGGAATTTTATATGGAACACACCTGTAATCCCTCTAGGACTGATACTTGCTGAGAGCAAGCATTTGGGCATTATGTGCTAAATTTATTGTCCAAAGTAGAGGGGCAAATTGCAGTCACTTCTACAAGGATCAGTTTGTTTTTGGAAAAGAGGCCAACTTTTCTTTAAGAAATTAACCTTCATCTCAGTTTGGTCTCCTTTGTTGTGTCACTACAGATGTAAAAGTGTTTGCCTTTGAATGTTTAAAGAGTGCCATCCACAGGCATTGAGAAGTGGGTCAAAGTATCAGATGGGAACCTTTCCTCTTTGTGCGTGTTGTTGCAGAATATCTACCCATTGTTCTCTTGTGCGAGTTGCCACCAATTTCTTATTTCTTTTTATGATTTATGTTAGCGGTACTTTTAGTTGAGCACTATGTAGTTGACGTTGGGAGTCAAGCCAGTATCATAAATAAAAATGCAGGAGATCTGCTAGTTTGTGTTAAAAGTCTTTTCATAGGGAACACATGTCCTGGCCGCACTTAATTCTTGTAACATTTCTCTCTCACACTTAGCACTCAATTGTTAAATGACAGCATGTCTCCAACATACAGCATGGATCACCAGTGGAGACCAGACAGTACACCCTTACAGACCAGAGCACCTTTTGCTGCAATTCTGTATCAGATTCTAGGCCTAACGATAATCTGCCATAGAAATATTCATAATTGCTCTTCTTCAGAGGTTTCTTAACGACCTGGTGTCTTTGTATTAAATTTATAATGATAACCACAGTGCCTTAAAGTGAACATCAGTGATTCCAAACAAGGGGTCATCTAACAGTGTTCCACAGGTTCACTGTCAAACAAAACAAAGAAGCACTCCTCATAACTTAGCTGTATATAGTATCACATCAGGTTTGCTTTCCACAGAATAGGGTTGATTTTATCTTCTTGAAATAGATATTAAAGGTGTGTTAATAGCCTCACAACGGGGCAGGTCAAGCCCCTGCTTCATTAAAGCTGACAATTGACTCTCAACAACCAGTCCTTCCCTGCATAGGCTGGAGGCTGTTTTATTATGTATTTTAATCTTGATATGGCTGGAGCTCAAGTTCCACGCCCTCCGACCAATCAATTTCAGAATTGAAAAGGATGTGAAAACATAATAAGGCCTGAAAATCATGAGGGGCATGGAAAGCCAAGGTCTTTTCCCCAGACTAGAGGGGTCCAAAACTAGAGGGCATGCGGTAGGTTTAAAATGAGAGCGGAAAGCTTTAAAAGGGACTTGAGGGGCAACTTTTTCGCACAGAGGGTGGTACATGTGTGGAGCAAGCTGCCAGAGGAGGTGTTGGAGGCAGGTACAATTACAACATTTAAAAGACATCTGGGTGGGTATATGATTAAGAAGCATTTAGAGGGATATGAATCAAATGCTGGCAAATGGGACTAGATTAATTTAGGATATCTGGCCGGCATGGACAAGTTGGACTGAAGGGTCTGTTTCAGTGCTATATAACTCTATGACTGTATAAACTTTAAAATATTTTAGTGGAGCAGTTTGGGGTTTGACCAACCCATCTTTCATTGATCTTGATAGCCCTTTCCCTATCAGACTTCCTTGGTCTGTCCAGTGTTGAGTTTGTCTAAATTTGGAGAATTTACTTATGATGCCTGATTGATACTCGGTCTCACCAGTTCCATTTAGAGAAGCTGTGCTCTAAAAAGAGCTCTAACCTTTTACTTCAGGAATGGTTATTCTGCTGGTTGATCACCCAAAATATAATTACCATTGATTCCAGTGGGTTTTTTTGGGGTGTGGGGGCTGGGGTAGGGAGAAATTCAGAACAAGGATGCATAGTCTTAAAATTAAAGTTGTTCAGTGGTGGTTCCAGGAAGGAACTAATATCTGCACCATCCTTTTTTTCAGAATCCACTGCATCATTGGCATCATTTAGAAAGTATTTTATTGCCTCTACAGCACTTTGGAACTTCCTGAGGTAGTGAAATACATCATATAAATGCAAGATCTTTGTGTCTGGACATTTGGCAAAATCATTAGCGGCAGCTGTTGATCTTCTTGAGAAATATGTAAATGTATTGAAATGTAAGAATTTTTAAAGCCAATCAGAGTACTCTTGGTTTGTTTAAGTATTGTGAGAGCAGGTTCAGACTTCATATGATCAATTGCTGAATATCTGGCCTTGCTTCCCACTTTAACGAAAATCACTGGGAACATTTACAAAAAATAATTTGGCTTGGTTCCTTTCAAGCTCCTGAGAAGTTACGATATGACATTTCAGAAACACTGTCCAATCTTATCCAGAAATTAATCAAAGCAGATCTGTAAGAAGGACAGGGATATTGATGGCATTGATAGTTTTGTGTGCTTTTCTCTTCAAATTCTAAAAAAATACCTGACAGTATTCCACTGTATATTATGCTATGAGTCATATTAGAATCCAATGGTTAACACTTTAGGATTATACCTGCTGAACATCAAGTCTGTTTTTTAGTTTTGTTGTGTTTTACTCTGGAAATCCATTTGGTGAAGGGTATGTGGAACGAATCTTCACTTAGCCTTATTTCTTTACAGACTTAATCATTACAAGCACATGCCTCCTAAATCAATCACAACACAGTTTCAATAGTCTCTCTTTACCCTTTTGATCAAACTAAAAACAAGTTAACTAATCAACAGTCTCTGAAAGGATTACTGTAACTGAAACTCAAGGGAAATGTCAGGCTATAATATTGTTCACAGCTGATTATGCACTCCAGCACATATAGCTCCCACCAGTTACTGATGTTTTGAAGTGTACCAATGGATACACAAAGCACAGAAACAGACCATTTGGTCTAACTAGCCCACATTCGTAAACCAAACTACTTCCCCCTGCCTGCATTTGACCCATGTCCCTCCAAACCTTTGCTATTCATGTACTTACAAATGTCTTTTAAATGTTGTGGCTGTACCTGCATCCACCACGTCCCCTGGCAGTTCATTGCACATAGGAACCACTGTGTATTAAAAAAATGTTGCCCCTCGTCCTTTTTAAATCGTTCTCCTTTCATCTTAAAAATATGCCCTTTACTTTTGAACTTCCCCACCCTAAGAAAAAGACCCTTGCTATTCACCTTATCTATGCCCCACTTTAGCTATAAACCTATAAGATCACCCCTCAAACTGCTACGCTCCAGTGAAAAATGTCCCAGTCCATTTTTATAACTCAAACCCTTCATTCCTGGCAACATCCTGGTAAATCATTTATGAACTCTCTCCAATTTAATAATGTCCTCCTTATAGTATGGCGACCAAAACAGTACACAATACTTGGTATAGACCAGACTAAACCTCATCAAAATATATTAAGAATATAGTCTAGCCCCAAACTTTTTATTTTCGAGGTAAGTTTAGGGTGTTGCATTCCAGGTGCAATTCAATTGGTCAAACTACTCGACTTTAAGTAAAATGCATTTTATTTTCTCTGTATTTTAACTGTAGTGTAAAAATAAAGGAATTGACCTCATTTAATAATTGAAATGCGTAACAAAATACTATATATTAAAAATTACTAATTAACTGCTCCAATATGGTAACATCCCATAAACACACCCCTGGCAAAGGTGAATTTGGTAAAATAGACTGTTTGATATGCAATTCTAGAAGTAGGAAGAAAATCCCAGCTTTTAACTGTAACAGAGAGAGGAATAAGAGTTTCCACATCTAGCTTCAGGACCTCAACAACTGCAGAAAGCTAAGTTTAAAAATCCTGGTTCTGTGGGAGTTTGACCCCACCCGTTCAGGCTGCTTCTTTTGTTCTAACTTTTTTTAAGAAAAGAAACCCAAGGCCTTACAAGCTGTTTACTTACTAACTTTGAACAGACTGTTTAATACTACTGTCTTAACCTTTCTTCATTAAAAAAAAAAGGACAAAATACACCTATTAAAGCCATGGTATCATCAGACAGTCCAGAAGAGGCCGAACCAAAGTCCTGTACAAACTCAACTTGATGTCTCAACTTCTGTACACAAAGGTATGAGCAATGAAGGAAGTGTGCTAAACACCTTCTTAATTACCCTGTCTACATGTGACGCAAATTTCGAAGAATTATGTCCCTGAACCCCTAAGTCTGTCTGTTCTACAACCGTCCCCTGGGTCCTATCATTAATTGTATAAGTCCTGCCCTTGATTGTTTTACCAAAATGCAATACATTGTATTTATTCAAATTAAACTCCATCTGCCACCCCTCAGTCCATTAACCCAATTGATCAAGATCTCATTGTAATCTTAGATAACCTTCTTCACTGTCCATCCTACCACCAATTTTAGTGTCACCCATAAACTTTCTAACTATGCCTCTTAAATTCTCATCCAAATCATTTACATAAATGACAAGCAAAAATGGACCTAGTACTGATCCCTGTGGAACATCACTGGTCACAGGCCTCCAGCTGAAAAAACAACCCTCCACCACCATCCTCTGTCATCTACTGTCAAGACAATTTTGTATCCAGTTGGTAAGCTCACTCTGAATCCCATGTGATCTAACTTTACTGACAAGTCTACCATGTGGAAGCTTGTCAAAGGCTTTACTAAAGTCCATGTAAACAACATCTATTGCACTGCCCTGATCAATCTTTTTGGTTACTTCCTCAAAAAACAGTCAAATTTGTGAGACATGATTTCCCTTACACAAAACAGTGCTGACTATCCCTAATCAGTCCTTGCCTCTCCAAATGAATGTAAATCCTATCTTTCAGAATAACCTCCAACCACATACCCTCCACCGATATCAGACTCACAGGTCTACAGTTCCCAGGCTTCTCTTAACAGCCCCTATTAAATAAAGTCGCAACATTAACCACCTTCCAGTCCTGTGACACCTTGCTCACGGTTATAGATGATACAGGTACATGCTTTCTTGCTAAGGACACATGGTCACAAATGTTATCACAGAAGAGGGTCAGCAGTCGAGTGGAATAAACAATGATGGAAACTATATTTTGCAAGTGCTGGACATCTGAAACCAACACTGAGAATGCTGAAGAAACCCAGCAGATCTGGCAGCACCTGTGGAAGGAAATAATGTTTCAGATCTAGTATGACTGTTCTTCAGAACCCTGAAGTGGGAGTAGCCTCTTCAAATAGTTGAAAAGGTGCTGAATCCTAAATGTCTCTTTACATGTGCTCAAGCATGCAAAGAAATACAAATCTTATACAGTTAACTAATTAATCATACAATTAATGCATTCCTCTTTAACTAATTCAGGCACAAGAATTTAAAGTGAAACGTGCTAATCACCTACAAAGATTGCTGTTGGCAGCTACAAGTACATGTATCAGAATTGTGGCTGGTGACAGCTATTCCAATCCTAGTGGAGGCCAAGCAGAATTACAACCATCCATGAAATGGCAAGCATACTTTTGAATTGTTTCAAAATACTTCAATGCATACAGTTTGATCAAATTCTTGAATTTTATTGTATAACCTGATTAAAGTGTGTCAGATATTTGTTTGTCAAATAACAAGGCTTTGAAAGGAAATTACAGATGTGAGTTAATGAAACATATATAAATGGTAAAGAAATAAAACAGTTGGAACTTGACAGCTTGCTTGGGTTAATTTGCTAATATTATTAATGCAACAGATAAAAAAATCGCTTCAGCACAATGAATTATTTTTGTAAAACTGCATGCTTTGATTCATTGCATGCCACTCTAATGTGAGAGTGTTCATAATGATACATAATAAATATTGTTCACAGCAAATGTGTCTTCATATATGCCTGGTGACCAGATAACAACGCAGCCATGAATGATACTTCAATATCCAGTCAATGGTGATTGCATAGTTCTGCCTTAATGGAGCGAGGGACTTTTCCCATCCTTTTCATGTGTTTTGTATGGTCTGCATGAATTAAGAAAAACATATTTTATATTTCCTGTATTGTATACATTATGTGTATAGTTAGACTTTTGGTTCCTAAGAAATTGGTAAAGTAAGTATGAGCATTAAAGTGGCATATCATTTATTTCCAAATGGCAATCATTTTTTTATATTGTAATAAACAAAGTTACCCCACAATTCTACTCTCTAATTAAAGAGCCAGTTGGTGGTGGTTTAACCTGAGGGTCTTTATGCATCTGGCAAGGGCCAAGGTACAATCTACATGGTAACATCAACTGTTATGGGAATTGAACCCAAACTGTTAACACCACCCTGTGACACAAACCTGCAGTTCAGCCAACTGAGCTAAGGAGATTGGATATATTCCAGCTTCAGTTAAAGTCTGAAATGGGAAAATTGAAGACAGTTTCAGTCAAAAAAACGGATTTTTTGAAACTTTATACCTCACCTGTTCCTTAAAATTATTATTTAGTCCCATATTTCCTGATTGATGAAATCCTTTTCTACCTCAAAGTAAGAAATAAAGACGTATTGTTTTACATAACCATCTCAAAGTGCTTTAGAGGCACTGAAGTACTTTTGAAATGTGTATGAGATACAGAAGCCAATTTTCACAAATCATTCTGCCACAAATAGTATTGAGAAATGAATAATGGTCAGGATATCAATGTTAACTCACCTGCTTTTTTTCTTTGATGTAGTCCAATAGATATTCTACATCCACCTTGAGAGGCAGATAGGGCCTCTGATTAATGTCCCTTCTGAATGACAGCACCTCAGACACAACAACAATCCCTCACCTGAGTCAGTTTTAATTTTTTTTGGTAAGTCCTGGGGTGGGACTTGAACCTGTACCTTGCAAGTGAGAGCCAAGAGTACCACTAGCTATTTGCTGGAGTATGTAATGCTTTACTGCAATGAGTAGACAAGGCAGAGACAATGGTGTCTTTGAGGAAAGAGTGGAAAAGTATTTTCAGGAGATACTGATCTGTGGTGCATAAACAGAGCACTGGGATCTATTTTGGCTTGTTCTGGTAGGCAGCGATCAAAAACCTTGATCTTCAGTGAGCCACTGTCATTTTATTGATCCAGGTTCCCAGAGCATTACCTGAATTAATAGCCTAGTAATAATGCCACTAGTCCATTGTCACACTTGGAAGAATACTGTGCATAGATGATCAGTTTTATATATTGACTGTGGGATGGACATTGGTTAATATACTGGGAGTATTTGCATACTCTATTCTTAGAGTTTGCTGTGGGTTCTTTGATGATACCTGAGATGGTGCAGCATTTGTCCACTGTTGTACTGAAGTGCCACCTCGGATTACTTGCTGGAGTTTACCGTAAACATGTGAGGGTGCTATTATTGAGCCACAGCTGCCAAGCTAAGTTCCAAGAGGAAAATAAACCAACCCAAAATGAGAGAAACTAGTTAAACGTGGCTGGCCAAAGCATCTTTAGATTTATCGCTGCTGTGTTTTTAATGTTTCCTGTCCTTTAGCAACCTTCAGGCATTCATTTAAAAATAGAAAATCAAGCATCCTGTATGACAGAGCTATGGAAACTGTTGTGCAAGGCTGATATCATAAAGTGAAGTGTCTGCTTGTTTAGAATGAGCTAATGGCAATTGTTTTATTTGTTCATGGAATGTGCGTTTCACTGCTTGAGTAAGTACTTATTGCCCATCCCGAATTGCCCAGAGGCTACTAAGAGTCAGTTACATTCCTGTGTGTCAAATGCAGACTAGACTGGGTAAGAGTGGCAGATTTCCTTCTCTAATGAAGATGACTGGAGCAGATGGATTTTCCCTTATGACAGTTATAGTGGTTGTCACTAGGCTAGTTTTTTTATCCCAGATTTGTACCCCATTCACCATGTGGGATTCAAAACTATGTGCTCAGAACACCAGCCTGAGTTTATGGAATACTAGACCAGGGACATTACACACTGGCAGATGTGCTGAGTTGCAAACGTTCATGCACTTGCAATGAATTGGGTGGTTATGCTGGTGGCTACAAGATAGTTGATTACGATGGGGGTGGGGGTATGTCACTTCTGTATTGGACATGATCAGTTGTGCCTTTAGACACCAGTTTGTGAATGGCGGTCTCTTCTGAGGCTGGTACAGGTGAATAGTGTTGGCCGGAGGTCGACTAATACTTTGTTCTTCTGATGGATTTTCTTTTCTGCCATCTGGTCATTTCTTTTGTCCCCTGCTTTTTCTATGCCCTTCCTGACTGCTTGTCTCCAGGCTCTCAGTGTGCAGCAGCAATGAATCTGAACCTGGTCACCATCAAGTCTCTCTTGCAGTCAACCTTGTAAACAAACACATACACCTGGTGCATTCGGCCTGGAAGGTGCACGTAAGAAAATCAAGTCTACCACAGCAAATTATTCTGCAATAAATAAAGCGCCAATAATTATATTTCTAGACACCTTTATTATTAGCACAGATACGTCTTGCTGAAGCTGTCTGCTGGCCAGATGCCATTTTCCCTATTATATTCTGTAATGTTTATTACGACACAGATAGCATTCAAGCCATGAAAGAAATGAGGGGACCTTATTGCAGTATGTGTGACATTAAATACACCGCAAAGGTCAATGTGCAGCACTACTTTCATGCTCCATTAAAATAGAGATACTGACACATTTTGGGATTTTTTTTCATTATATTTTGCCTGTCTGGAAGAAATTTGGGCAGAGATTGAGTGATGTTTAATTCTTGTGTTTAAAAACAAAGTGGATGTGGAATTGAGTTCAGTGGTGTTCCTGGAGGCAGGGGAGTGCTGCTTGTGTGGTACACCATGTTGAAAAAGGTGTTTGCCAGAAGCAGCTGAATGCATCCTGTCATCATGTCACACAGCACAACTAGATAACATAATGCTCACTGTGAACCCTGTGGATCTATTTAATGGATTTGAACATCACACACAAATGATCAAATGTTCAACCGTAAGATGGGTTCTGCACTAGTGTTCCTTTAAAGTACCAAGCACCCAACTTGCAAGTAAGGTGATTTTGAAGCACTGCAGATTGCAAAGGGCCTGATTTTAACTCGAAAAAAACCTGTATTCTGTGGAAATGTTTTTGAAGTATTTTAAATTGGCTAACTTCTGGAAAGTAACTCCTCTGCCTCTTTTGTTCATGGTTGCATTGGCAATTACAATTTTTAAGAATTTTTTATTCAAAAATAATTTTAATGTACTGCAAAGTCAAGAAAGTGGTTGAGGAGTAACAACATGTAAGTCTACTTTCCTTACAATGTTCTAGATTTTGCTTGCTCCTTATTTGGCACATAGATAGCTGTTATTGTTTGACGATGTGTAAGTGTGTTGTGCTCTGCTTGCACGACTATTAATCAAGTTCACCTTGAACTTGTCAAGAGAATATGACTGTGAACTAGCTAGTTCAGCTAAATTAAACATCCTATAGGAAGATTTTAAATAAACAAGATGGTTCTAAAATGTGTTGTGACTAATTAAGATTGAGAGACCAGACGTTTTAATCAAGATTCAACAAAACTATCTCCATGAGCTGTACGAGTGCACTGGTCTGCTGTAATTATTTAAAATTCTTGCTCTGAACTAGCCGCAATACGATGCATAGAATTGTCCAAGACTACCTGTCCATTAACTTGCCCCCAATTCTGTTGGAAACTACAAGGGTGTCACTTGGTAGCTTCTCAGAAAGTTTCATCTTTATGTTCAGGAAATCAGTGGTGTGGGAGGTTGAACCCATGCCCCACCATTGCTGACAATGTGCTAGTATTTTCTCATAAACCTTCCAACTCACCTCCTGGTAGTAGATTAACTATAGTCCCAGAGGACTGCTCTCTTGTTAGTGAGAGACAACTGTTTGCAATTTAAGGGTCATCACGCCTCGGGTGAAGGGAGAGGTTGAGATGGTGAGTCCTTCATGGTAAGCTCAGCCAATGTGGAAATTGAACCCACACTGTTGGCATCTCTCTATATTGTATAGCCAACTGAGCTAACCAGCCCCTTTCAGAGGACTTATTGTTGAGATATAGACCTAAAGTACTAGTCTCACTGCAGTGCTTTGCCCGACTAGCCATTACTCATGTGTAAACCTTGATGGTAAATATGAGAAAGTAATCCTACATGGAGCACATTTAATGCGAGCTGAATCGAGTCCTTATCTGACATTCATGCACATGAGGATGGATCTTATGAGTCACCCTAAAGGGCAGGAAATAGATGGGCAGATTCACAACATAGGGCATTGTGCCTTTGGTGGCCTGCCGATTTTTCCAAGTGGCCCAGTTGTAACCCTTAGTTTACGTAATGACTTAAGTAAGTTATTACTTACCTTTTGTTGAGTAATTAGTTCACACTGACGGACTTCATAGCCCCGATGTAAAGGGCAGCTAGGGAGGGCTGCACCATGTGTGGAGCCTGGGAGGTTTGACCTATCAGGCAGCAGACCTGTGAAAGTCATGGATAATTCCTCCTGTCAGGACCTCTGCCAATCAGAGACCCTATCCACAGTTCCATTCTACTGGAATCAAGCCTGCTGCCATCACCCCCACCAATTTGTCAGCGGTTCTCTGAGACAGAGCTTCTTGTTGTTGAGTCAAATTCCTGTTTCTAGTCTGTTATCAGACAGGGTTGCTCTTGCTGATAAGAGAGCAGCCCTATGGTCCCCTGGAACTCCAGTTACTTTACCATCAGGAGAGGTGTTGGAAGGTTTATGAGAAGGTTGTCCTTGGTGTGGCATGGGTTTAACTTGGTCACACTGCACATCCTGAGCACAACGATGACACTTTGTGGCTATAGGGGCAGTCAGTCTTCCACTGGGCAGCTCCCCCACCCCAACCATTTAGTTGGAGGGTCACATAGAGACTGTAGCCCCTATTAAATCCAGCCCATGGCTTTCAGAAGCTGTTGCTGGGAAGTGATCAGATGTCAGAATCATTCCCAGTATTTTCCTCTTCATAGCTTCAACTTTGCCTTCAGTCACCATTCCTAGTATTTTTCACTGTTACTGTATGTTCTTTTAGCTTCCTCCTGTAGTGTACTTTTTGAAGTTCTCTGAATTAGAAAATGAAACCATATGGACTGTGATTGTAAATTTTATTTGACTTGTAATCCAAATTTAGTCTGATTTCC